GCGCGGAGATGCGGAGACCCGGCCGGGCAGCGACGGCCCGGGGCAGCTGCGGGCGCGAGGTCTGGGGAGCCGGGCGGTGCGCAGGGACGCGGGGGGCCGAAGGGGCGCGTGGAGTCGGGGCGGGCGCTGGAGTAACCGGCTTCGAGCCTTTCGGGCCCGAAGGAAGGACTTTGGGGCCGATGGGCTTTGTCTTTGGAAGGTGGAGGTCTCTGTGCCAGCAGGTTTGGGAGCTCTAGGGGTTAGAGCTGTGCTGAGAGCCCTGGTCCGGTTCTCCCCCGGGAAGAGGGCTCCACGCCATAGAGATAGCAGGTGATCTGAGGGCTTATGGTTAGGGTTCCTCCTGTCTCCCTGACCTGCTAGCCTTCCCTGAAAGAAAGTCTTGGTTGGAACTGAGCAGGGTTAGACGCGAGGAGGAGCCGTTTTCCTCCATGAGCATCGCCTCCTTCCCAGGGCTGGCTATTTTTATCCCAGATGTGGCTGCAGAGGGGGCTGGGGCAGGGTGACAGGGCAGGGCGACGTGGCTGATGAGCTGGACCGGTTCAGAAAGCCCAGGCTGTGTGAAGCAGGGAAAAAGTAAAGGTGGGGGTCCTGTGGCTAGTGTTTCTCTCTCCCTTCGTATTACTGATCTGGGGCCAATGCTGCTTCAGTCTTTTCACTGTCTTAGCTGTAAAACAACTTTCTTGGTCCTGTTCCAGACTCCTGCTTCCCGATGGCTGTCCCTCTCCTCTATTAACTCTTGCTTAGGATACAGACCCAGACCCTTGGGCTGGCGGTGTTTTTGGATCACTTCCGGGTGTGGAGCTGGCGAGGGAATCTTCGATGCCCACCCTGCATCCTCGCCTTTAGCTTCTGCCTCCCCACCGCACCCTCTCGTGACTCATACTCTAGACTGGGTGGAGACCCTGGCTGGGGCCCCTGGAGGAGGACTTGGCATGTCTAAAATGTGGATGAAATTTTTCTTCCTGAGCCACGCATCCTCGCTTGCCACATTTGGGGAAAGTCAGTGAGGAAGAGGACCTCTGGTTCTCAGTGTTGTCGGCTCCGGGATTAGGGAGAGAAAATGCTGCTGAAGGGAGAAGTGGTGTGGGTGATGGGCAGTGTGCAGAGTCTGTAATTACAGAGGCTGGGTAGACAAGCAATTAGTATACCTCGGAGCTGACAGGCTGGTGGGGTGTTTCCTGTCGGCTGGAGGCAGGGGGACCCAGGAGAAAGTGGGAGGCCATCTACTCTTTGCTTTGAGCCAGGCTGGGGAATAGGGTTGAAACTTTGCAATCACCTCCTTCTCTCTTTTTTCCCCGTTGTACTGGGGATTGAGGCCAAGGCCCCACACGTTAGGCAGGCTCTTTACCATTGAGCTACATCTCTAGCCCTTCTTATTTTTTACGTTAAGACAGGGTCTTGGTAGTTGCCCAAGCTGGCCCTGAACCTAGTGATCCTGCTACGTCAGCATTCCAGGTAGCTGGGATTATGCCACCACTCCCAGCTTTCCAACTATGAAGCCAGCTACCCTGGGTAGAGGAGGTTTAGGGTATAAGAGAGAGTTTATGTCTTTTTAGGAGAAAGAAAGGAAGTGGGAAGGTGTAAGGATGCCTGGCTTTTTCCAAGTTTGAACCCAGTTACACTGGGTAGAGGAGGTTTAGGATATAAGAGAGAAAGGGGGCCTCCTCTGACATGGTTCAGAAGACCCTTCTGCTAGCCCAGAAGGAAAGCTGGCCCAGATTGAGGGGAAGTGGTTTGGAGACTTGTCTGAGTAGGAAGTGAGGGCCAGCCCTCTACTGTGAGCTTCTCTGCAGAGAAGGTGATAATGGAAGCCCCAAGAGTGGGGGTGGGGATGGGGGACTTGTGGGCATTTCTAGAAGGGTGGAGCCTGCTTACTGGTTTCCTGATGCCCTGCCAGGTGTTTCCTGGCTTATTTTCCCTCCACCCCACCCTTTGGGGGAAATGCTGCTGTCTAGTGCAGGCGTCACACGTTGTCACCCAGATGGTACATGGGGCATCCATGGTCTCTAACTTGAGACCTTATCAATATCTGTCTACATCTCAGAGGTCCTCGCCCTGCAGGCCTTGGCTTCACTACACACGTAGCCCTCCCATGTTACCCAGAGCAGAGGGAATGGCCCCTTTTCTCTGTTACCCTTTGGCAGGAATAGGGAGAATGATGGTGGAGCTGGCGGAAAGGGCTGGCAAGGGCCTGAGAAGGGAAACTTTAGAGGGTCTGATGAGGGGAATGAAGGGTCACCTGCTGCTCCCTGACCTCCCGCATCTGTTACCTTCCTGCAGGGTCTCCCATGGGATTGCTGGGACTTTGTTGGGTGAGATGGCACTGTGTGCAAAAAAGCGTCCCCCAGGTAAGAAGGGCAAGGGGTGGCGAACCCTGGGGCCATCGTGAGTGGGTGTTGTTTTGGCCCAGAGAGCCAAGAGAAGGGAGACAAACTGGTAGAGGTCTAAGAAAGGAGAGTTTCTTTTTTTCTCTTTTTAAAGCCGGGGTCTTCCTATGTAGTTCAGTCTGGGGTCCATGTAGTTTGCAGTCATCCTCCTGCCTAGGAGGGATTACAATTGTGAGCTACTGCGCCTGGCTGGGGAAAGAGATTAAAACCCCTCACTTCCTGGGGGAAGACTAGGACAGTTTTTCCATTTGAGGCTTCAACTGTGTTTCCTGGTGGGATACAGTGAGTGCAAGACCCCTGCCCACACATCTGTATTCTTATTTGGAGACACCTGCAATTCCTACTCTGTGGCCTGAGGAGGCCTTCAATCTCTTCTCGTTTTCCACCCGCCTCGTTTTCCACCCACCGGGTTCTGCGCTCTCGCCTGCGGGGGTGAGGGACCAGCGCGGTTGCCCCCGACTACACGCAGTCTGCTCGCCGCATTGGCCGAGCAGGTTGGGGAGGCGGGGCTCCGCTGGCTGTCGCCTACGCGGCGCTGGCTGCGCGGCCCCTGCAGTTGGGGCGGGCGGAGCCCGGTCTGCGCTAGGCGTCCTGGGTCACTCCGGGTGCGCACGCTGGGGCTGCGGGAGACCCGGGGTCCGCGGAGCCGCTGACAGCGGTCCGGGCGGGCGGGTGTCGCGGCCCCGAGGATGGCCTGGGCAGAGGGGACTGCGCGCCCTGGATGGCTGGGGCTCCCCTCTGAGCGACCGCAGCTTCTGCGCTTCGCTTGGGGGCCGCCCCGTAGGCGGTAGGCACTGCTGAAGCCGAGCATAGACAGTGTGCCCTCCCCTACTCACACCGGGACCATGACGGTCCCCAAGGAGATTCCTGAGAAGTGGGCCCGGGCCGGGGCACCTCCCTCCTGGAGCCGAAAGAAGCCCTCTTGGGGGACAGGTAATAAGCGGCAGCTCTTCCGCACCCCTAATTCCCCATCCATTCTCCACATTCCCTTTTTCCCAGCCTCCAGCATTCCCTGGTTTGCTGTCCAGACCCAAAGATCCTGGCTCAGAAGGCTTAGACCCCTGTTCTTTCTTTGCTTGGCCTGTGGTGATTGCACAGGGTCTTCCCCTCGGAGGAAGTTTCTGGGAGTAGCGTGGTCCTGATGGGATGCTGTGGCCTGGGTATTGCTGCAGTGTGATCAATGCGGGGCTTGGAAGAGAGGTCTGAATGTCGCGTCTGGCTCTTTTAAGATACTAGGTTTGCTGCCGAACTAAGTTACTCCCTTTTATAGCCCGAGGTCATAGTGACCCCACGATGTGAGATGAGCACCCCTTCATAGGACATCCCCTGTCCCCTGTTGTGGGACCTAAACTTGGTTCCTGCAGGGACCTGTGGAGGTTTGGATAGGTGTAGCTGAGGGACAGGTGAGCCACTTAAGGAGAATTATGTAGATGGCGCTGGAAAGGTCACAGTTACAGAGTGGCTGTTTCAGTTACATATCCTTCCTCTCTTACATCAGTCTCAGTTTGTGTGACCCATATCCCTGAGCCCCCACCTTCCCTATTTGAAGATGAGCTGTAAAATAGGTGATGTCATTGTTGGCCAGTCAGAAGCTTCTGCTGGTGACATGTGACAAGCAGAGGCTCCTGTGGGGGAACTGCACATGGGACTGAGATGCTGCCGCAGAGCAGCTCCAGGGCACAGTGACCCTTAATCTCAACACCCACCCCACTCCTCCCAGGTCTCAGGAGAGAGGTACCTAAGGGGAACATGCTTTGTGGCTGCTTCATGCTTATGGTAATGGCCGTGTTAATTGTAACAGCACAAGAGCCTGGGGATTCCCATGACAACTAGTGGCTAAGGTTCCTCCAGAGTGGGTCCAGTGGAGGATCTTGACTGGAGGGAAAAGAAAACAGGCTTTCTTGTGAATGTGATCATCAGAGCCTGGCTGTTGGTGAGAGGTAGATTGGAGAGGAGAAATGAAAGGCACTTCAGTGGAGCTAAGAGCCATATTCTGTGAGCAGAACCAGAGTCTCTCTTTGGCTCCTCTCTCCACAAAGTAGGATGGCCTTGAGGTGTGGGTCCTCCTTTTGCTCTTCCTAACTGTAATGTGGTTCTGTTGTAGAAGAAGAGAGGAGGGCGCGGGCTAATGACCGAGAATACAATGAGAAATTTCAGTATGCGGTAAGTGACCTCAGACCACCTGTTCCAGAGTGAGAAGGGGAGGTACAGGAACATCCTGGGCTGGGACTGAAGGCTGACAAGGGAAATGGTGAGGGGAGGCGAAGGAGGTCTTGTTGGCTGCTCCATCTGCTACAGTGTGGAATTTTTCAGACGACCTTCACTGGTCTGGAAAGCAAGATACCTCAACACAGGGAGTGATTCTCTCTCTCCCAACCCCCATTGCTGGTGTTTGGGGGCAGAGGTTTGGGGAAGTATAAAGATAGAGGAGCCAGCCTCAGGTTCAGGGGTGGGGGTGGGGGCTTCCTCTTTATCTTTTCTCCCACTACCATAGAGCAACTGCATCAAGACCTCCAAGTACAATATTCTCACCTTCCTGCCTGTCAACCTGTTTGAGCAGTTCCAGGAAGTTGCCAACACCTACTTCCTGTTCCTTCTTATTCTGCAGGTGAGTGGCCTGTCGTATATCCGCTGTGACTTCACAAAGTGAGATGAAGCCAGTGAAGAGGAGGGTTTAGGGCAGGAAGGCACTAGCTGGGCCACAACCGAAGCATGCTTCTCTTTCCCCTCTACAGTTGATCCCACAGATCTCTTCCCTGTCCTGGTTCACCACCATTGTGCCTTTGGTTCTGGTCCTCACCATCACCGCTGTTAAAGATGCCACTGATGACTACGTGAGTTGTTTGCATTCTTCTACTTTTTCAAGTGCCCCTTTCCTTCCACCCCCAACGTAAGTCACCTTCACCCAGCACAGTTCCTTGGTGACCTTCCTATCCTATCCCTTACCTGGCTCAGCTAGATCCATACCTTGGCTGAAGGGGGACAGGGAAGTCAGGAAGAGTCAGTCTGTGAGCAGGTGTGCGCAAGGCATTCCCCATCATGCTCCGAGCTTACCAATGGTCCAGCTCCCTTGGAGCAGGAAATTGGACTTTACCTTTCTTGTTTCTCTTTTTAGTTCCGCCACAAGAGTGATAACCAGGTGAATAACCGGCAGTCTCAGGTGCTGATCAATGGAATGTGAGTGCCTTCTGAAGGTGACAGCTCTGGAGAAAAGGGGTCCCCTGGGAATGTCATTAGCTATTGACAGCCTCTTCCCTGTCTTCTTCTTGCTGCAGCCTCCAGCAAGAGCAGTGGATGAATGTCTGTGTTGGTGATATTATCAAGCTTGAAAATAACCAGTTTGTGGCGGTAAGGGACAAGGTGCCCACCCTGGGCCCGGAGGGCTGTTTTTCTCTGGGCAGAGAGGGACGAGTCCTTTCTACTTTTTTTTTAAAAAACCATAAAAGGAGACTTTGTTGAGTAGGAGGTTTCCTCTGTGTCCTTTTAAGATACCTGCCTGAGACTAGCCATTGTCTGCAATAAGAAAGGGAGGCGTGCTCAGTGGGGAAGCCATCACCAGAGCCCACAGAGGGTGGGCTTGGGCCTTTAGGTTCTCATTAGGTTTTCTTTGTAGGCGGATCTCCTGCTCCTTTCCAGCAGTGAGCCCCATGGGCTGTGTTACATAGAGACGGCAGAACTTGATGGGTAAGTGGCACCCTTAGTGTCAGATCTCCTTATGCCACCCTAGGAGCAAAATGACGGTGTTTGAAAGAAGTTCTCAGATCTGAGCTCTCTTGCTTTAGCTAAAAATTGAGGATCTGAAAGAGTTTGGCTGTGTAGAAGTCTTAGCGGGGCTGAGTGGTAGCACCCAGTAATCAGGTCCCCCAGGTTCCCTAAAAAGGCCGGGAGGAAGCCAGGACTCAGGAGTCCTCTCCTTCCAGAGAGACCAACATGAAAGTGCGCCAGGCGATTCCTGTCACCTCGGAGCTGGGAGACATCAGCAAGCTTGCCAAGTTTGATGGTGAGTAATCCTGCAGGTGCAGCCCTCAGGTAGAGGAGGTGGCTTGGGCTTTGTACATTTTCCTGTTGGCTTCTTAGTGCTGTGGTTGTATAGCTTCCTGGACTATGTTGTGGAGGGAAACCAGGTGGGCCACTTGCTTTTGAGCTGATGATCATTTTAGGGAAATTTTGTGAGTTCTCACTCACTTGCTGTGCATGTTGAGAGAAATTCAGCTTTTTGTTTTGCTTATTACCTCAGAATAATGATATATGCTCTTTATCAGAAGACAGACTATGGAGTGTATAAGAAAAGTTAATACAGTAGTCTCCCGCTGCCCAGTTCTGCCCTTCTCAGATAGTCAGGTTAACCTCCAATGCAGCGTGTATTCTTCCACAGTTGTTTTTCAGTACTGGATATTGAACTCAGGGTCTTTGGCACTGAGCTACATCCCCAGGCTTTTTTTTTTTTCTTCTTCTTTTCCAGTCAGATTTACTTCATATATTTTTACAACAATCACATTCATAAAAAAAATCACATTCATCATAGAGAGTTTGTGCCTGTGTATAAGATAACTTACTTAGGGGGCCTGGCCCTAGCTCAGGCCTTTAAGTGGCTGCTTCCACAAAGCTGTCAGCCTCAGGTTGCTGGAGTTCGAACCTCACAACTCTCCCGCTGGCCAAAAGTGCCCTGAAGGCGTTCCAGGAACAAAAAAAAAAAAAAAAAAAAAGATAACTTACTTGATTCTTTTTCATTCCCCATTCCCCTCCCCTCCCTCCAGCCCCTCTTCCTTTTTCCATTTACAGGAGCTTTGTTTCCATTCCCAGTCTTTTTGTTTTGTTTTCCTTTTTTTGCGCGGAACCGGGGATTGAACTCAGGCCCTTGTGCTTGCCAGGGAAGCACATATTCCATTGAGCCATCTCCCCAGCCCCTCCCAGTCTTTTTGTTTTTGTTTTTTTTTCTTGGCGGAACCGGGGATTGAACTCAGGCCCTTGTGCTTGCCAGGGAAGCACATATTCCATTGAGCCATCTCCCCAGCCCCTCCCAGTCTTTTTGTTTTTTGTTTTTTTTTCTTGGCAGAACCGGGGATTGAACTCAGGCCCTTGCGCTTGCCAGGGAAGCACATATTCCATTGAGCCATCTCCCCAGCCCCTCCCAGTCTTTTTGTTTTTGTTTTTTTTTCTTGGCAGAACCGGGGATTGAACTCAGGCCCTTGCGCTTGCCAGGAAAGTGCTTATTCTACGGAGCCATCTCCCCAGCCCCTCCCAGTCCTTTTGTAAAACCAGATTTTATTGATAGATTTTACATATACATAATCCCATTCATCAAAGATTTTGTGCCTATACATGTTATAACTTGTTTTTTTTTTTTCATTCCCTTACCCTCCCTTCAGTACCTCCTCCCCTCCCTAGTCCTTATTAAATTTGATTTTTAAAATGTTTTTGAAACAAGGTCTAGCTAACTCACTAAATTGCCCTGGATGGGTTTGAACTTGTGGTCCTTCTGCCTCAGCCTGTCAAAGTGCTGCGATTACAGTTGGGCACTACCATGCTCACCTCATCTATACTTTTTCAGTAGAATAAGCACTTGCCTGGCAAGCGCAAGGTCCTGAGTTCAATCCCCAGTACCGCAAAAAACAAGAAAAACCTCATCTATACTTTTTTTTGATGACTGGCTCAGCCCACCCTGGGGGTGGGACTGGCATAGCATGTGGTACTGGGGATTAAGCCGGGGTCCCTGGGCTTGCCTAAGCTTGCCTAAGCAGGCGCTACTTCATCGGCCCTCATCTATACTTTTTACGTATGTTTATAGAAACATATAGTAAATATGATTGAACGTAATTCTCCTATGCTAAAGTCTTTAACCTACCCTTTTAAAAACCTGTCAGGGGGCTGGAGAGATGGCTCAGTGGTCTAAAGCACCTACTTGGAACAAGCTTAGTAAAGCACAGGGACCGCGGTTCGATCCCCCAGCACCACATGCCAGCCAGCCCCACCCCCTGGTGGGCTGAGCTGCCCCCCCCACTAAATAAATGTTAAAAATAAATTTAAAAAAATAAATTAAAAAAAAATAAATAAATAAAAACCTGTCAGGTACATCATAAGTGTCTTATCACATTAGTACATAAAGAATTTATCATCTTTTATTTTTTTAAATATTTTATTTATTTATTTATGTGTGTGTGTGTGTGTGTGTGTGTGTGTGTGTGGCCAGCTCAGCCCACCAGGGGGCGGGGCGGGCAGGCATGTGGTACTGGGGATTGAACCTCGGTCCCTGTGCTTTGCTAAGCTTGTTCTAAGTAGGTGCTTTAGACCACTGAGCCATCTCACCAGCCCTATCATCTTCTTTTAATAGTTGCTTAATATTTCTGAGAGTTGATGTGTCAGTTTATTCAACCACTTTGTGACTATTCAGTGGTTTCCAGCCTTGCTGTTCCAGTAATGCTTTAATAAAATTCGCTGTTCCCTATGCTGTTCTGAGAGTCCCAACAGTGGCTCCAAAATTGGGTGTACTTTTTTTTTTTCAAAGACAAGGTCTTAGGGCCGGCCAGATAGCTCAGTGGACTAAAGCGCCTGCCTGGGAAGAGCACAGCAGCCAGGGTTCAATCCCTGGCGTGAGGTGCTGGCCCCACCCCCAGGGTGCACTGAGACTGTGACTGAGACCTGTAATCCCAGCACTTGGGAGGCTGAAACAGGAGGATCACTATGAGTCCGATCTACATAGTGAGACCCTGTAGACCCTGCAGACCCTATACCAAATACGTAAAATAAAAAAATACAAGACAAGGTCTTGCTTTGTATTTCAGGCTGGCCTTGAACTCACTATGTAGCCCAGGCTGGTCTTGAACTCATAGCAATTCTCTTGTTTCAGTCTCCCCAGTGCTGGGATTACAGATGTGTGTCACCATGCCTGGATTTTGTTTTGGTTTTGTTTTTTGAGCAGGATCTCACTATATAGCCCAGGCTGGCTTTGAACTCATGGCAGTCTTCCTGCCTCAGCCTCTCAAGTGCTGGAATTATAGGCATGCACCACCGCACCTGGCATTTTTTGGGAGGGGTGTATGCTCTTAATACAAATTCACATTGACTTCTTTTCCTGAGCAGTTGCATCAGCTCATTGCCACCAGCAGGGCCTGTGCTCTCACATCCTTTACGTCAGCTGCTTTTTCTTCTGGTCAGGATGTAGCCTGAGTTGAGCAGCAGCCCTCCTCTCTCCTATTCAGGTGAAGTGATCTGCGAACCCCCCAATAACAAGCTGGACAAATTCAGCGGAACCCTCTATTGGAAGGAAAACAAGTTCCCCCTGAGCAACCAGCACATGCTGCTGCGGGGCTGCGTGCTTCGAAACACCGAGTGGTGCTTCGGGCTAGTCATCTTTGCGGGTGAGCCTCCCAGCTTTCAGGGAAAGAAGAGGACAAGTCAGTGACTCGGGCCTTCCTCAGAGTGTGTGGTGAAGCTGTGTAGTCTGGTGGGGTGCATAGAGCAGGAGCTTCGGGCCCTGAATAGAGACTTCTCATCCACCCCATGACTTGATTTCCCCTGAGGTCCTGCAGCCTAGAGGCAGTGCAGAAGTCTAGAGGCAGATTTGTGATTTAGCTTCACATGTTTGTCTAGGTCCTGACACTAAGCTGATGCAGAACAGCGGCAGGACGAAGTTCAAGAGAACCAGTATTGATCGCCTAATGAATACCCTGGTGCTCTGGGTAAGCCTCCCCTTTGGCCCCCACCTCTGCCTTTCTGGGTCTCTTTGGCTGGTTCCCTTTCTTCCAATTGCTTTTCCCTGGTTAACAGACTTTGGGTTTGGCTCTAAAGCCACTGGTAGGTCCGCTACTCAAAGGCAGTGCTTATTTCAGTCTCCTTTAGACTGGAAAGATGTTATTTTAAAGAACTTTAGGAACGTGCATAAATCAACAGTTTAAAGCTGAAACAAGTCATCCCTTCTCTGCCTCCCAGTTGTGATGATGGCCCAGTATAGCATGTGACCTGCTGTTTGCTTCTGCCAGGGACAAGGAGGCCTTCATGGGATGGAGAGGCAATTAAGAGAAAAATTTCCATTTAGAAGCTGGGTAGTAGGATCCTTTCCCCCAACTTCTAAGGATGGAGGACCTCAGAGGAAAAGTTTCTCTTTTCATTTTTGGCAATTCCTGAATCCTTCTCTTGTTGAGTGAGAAATCTGAGCCCTTGGTTGGGCTCTCCTGGCCATCTTGCCTCTCCTGCCCACCGCCAGCCCCTGGTGTGCCAGTTTCCAAAGCCCGGGCCCAGCCTCTGTTTCACACAGCTTCTGCCCAGGCTGGAAAAGTCACAGAAACTCAGCCTGACACCCCAAATTAAATATTCTGTTGTTTTAAAAATATTTCGATGTACATGCTAACTTATTCCATTTATTCTAATAGTTTATCTTAGTTTATCAAAGTTTGTGTTATCAGGTTTCTTTTATGCCAAATCTTGATTTATGTCTTTACTATTTTGAAGATAGTGATACACGGTGTAATAGAAGTTATTATTCTGTTACTTGGTTATAAAAGTTTGTTTATTTTTTTCATAAAAAACAAACCCAAAACCCAAACCGAGAGGATGGTTAAGTCTGTCGCGTGAAGGCTTGCCCTGCACCTGGTGTCCTTTGAGCACCAGGATGGCTCCTGTTTCAAAGCCTCAACAGTGCAGGCAGCGGGCTGGTGAGATGGCTCAGTGGTCTAAAGCACCTACTTGGAACAAACTTAGCAAAGCACAGGGACTGCGGTTCAATCCCCCAGCACCACATGCCAGCCAGCTCCGCCCCCTGGTGGGCTGAGCTGGACACACACACACATACATACATACATACATAAATAAATAAATAAATAAATAAAAACAGTGCAGGCAGCTTTGAAACAAGATGTAGAAGAGCATATAGTGGTCTTGGTTATTTTCTTTCAATTGCTAAAACTTCCTTAAGACTCTTCTTCAGTAAGGAGGGGAAGGGGGTTGAAGGGAGAGTAGGGGAATGGGGGAGGATCTAGTCAGATCATGTACAGGTACAAGTTTCCTACGATGAATGTGATCAGTATGTCTACCTGAAAGGTACCAATATAGATCATGTTTGGAACAAGATCCTTCTTCAGAGTTGAGTCTGGTAGCACATGCCAGTGACCTCAGCAGTGTGGAGGCTGAGGCAAGAGGATGGCAACTTTGAGCCCAGCCTGGATGAATGCTCTCTTGACTTAGCAAGATATTGTTTCAAATTAAAAAAAAAAAAAAGATAAAAAAGGCTGGGAACTTAGTACATATGAATGGCCTCAGTTCAGTCTCCAGTACTAGGGAAAAAAATTGCTGTTCATGAAAGTAGTTTGTTTCCCTAGTTTTAAAAAGTGGCACTATGGTAGGGGACTCAGGTCAACAATTTTTGATATTGTCAGTCAAGTGGAAGACCCAATACTATTAAGGGCTACTGGACTCTTTTAGAATATTTTGCTGAGCTTTCACACCTATAATATTCAAATAGTGGAACTTAACAAAAAAAGGGGATACAGATGAATGTCCATTTTGTATCTGTGCATTCAAAGTGGTTAGGATAGATATATAGTTAGTTACATTCTCTTAATGAATAGAGGGATTTGTTCTAATGGTGTTTGTAAATAGGATATCATGTCCGCGTCTTGTACAGCAATTAACCACTAGGAAGAATGTAGGCAATGTGTAAATTATTGAAACTGTCCTACCAATTTGGTTTGAAACTGTCTCATTGCTATTTGCTTCTCAATAAAATTATGGGGAAAAAAAACCTAAAAAAAAAGTGGCACTATGTATAAAATGGAGACCTTACAATAATGGGGGAGTTTTGCTAGCCGTGAAAACAGCGCAGCTACACCAGCGTCAGTGGCACATGGAAAGCTCGCCCTCGCTCTTACCACTGAGGACTCCTGAGGGTGCCAGCTTGGGAGCTGCTTTGCTGTTTTGGCTTCCCCACCATACAGATGAGAAAGTGTCCCAAGAGCAGGCCGAGTGACAGCCCACAGCCGAGAAGGCCTTGTCGTCAGGTCTTCTTGCTGGTTCTGCGCTCTTTCTAGTAGAGCATGCCGCCAGTTTAAAGTTGCCTGAGCTTTGAAGGGCTCAGGCATGAGCAGTGACTGTCATGGGGGATGCGCCTGCTTTCAGAGCTTTCTTAGCCACCCTCAGCTTTTCATTCTTCCCTAGATTTTTGGATTCCTGGTCTGCATGGGAGTGATCCTAGCCATTGGCAACGCCATCTGGGAGCATGAGGTTGGGACGCGCTTCCAGGTCTACCTGCCCTGGGACGCGGCGGTGGACAGTGCCTTTTTCTCCGGTTTCCTTTCCTTCTGGTCCTACATCATCATCCTCAACACCGTCGTGCCCATCTCCCTGTATGTCAGGTGTGTGCTTTCTCTGACCTGGGGTCTCCTGTAGGGCACTGCTTGGCAAACTTCTGTGAAGGTGAAACCCTTGAGAAGGAATATGGAGCCCTTTTTTTCATGTACTGTGAACATTTTTTTGTTACCTCTTTACTTTTGTTGTGCATAGCAAAATTTTACAAGTTTCCTGGCACTTGGGACTATATCTGAACAACAACCATGTTAATTTATTCAGCATGTATTTATTGCACACATCCCCTGTGCAGAGAATTACAGAGGTGCGCGGCATACGCAAAGATGAACCAGGAATGGATTTCCATCCCACTAGGTCTGGTAGTGCAAGAAAAATCTCAGCACACTGTAAAGCAAAACAGGAAGAAAGTAGAAGTTATCCTACCTGGAATGTTTGGTGTAAAGCAAGGATGTGTCAAATAGCTTCTGTCTGCAGAAGTGGCACACTGGTGGGGAGATTGCAGCAGTGCCAGGCACTGAGATACTAAGTGGGAAGTACGAAGGAGGCAGAACGCCCCTCCCTCCCCATGCAGGTAGTCAGGGAGGACATCTCAGAGGAGTTGTACTGGGTGGGTAACAACAGAGCTGGAGTGGAGGGGAGGAAGAGAAGTCTGATAACAAAGATAAGGGGACCAGAGCAGGCAGTGCCTTTGAGAGCAGCTAGGGAGGGGCTTGGTTTGTTTTAAATCTAGCCACCAGGTATGGTGGGGCATGCCTGTCATTCCAGCACTTGTGGGGCTGAGACAGGAGAATCAACACAAAGTTCAAGGCCAGCTGGAGCTGCACATTGAGTTCAAGGACAGTCTGGGCTCCTTAGCAAGACCTGGCTTCAAAAGAAATAAAAAAGGGGCCGGTGAGATAGCTCAGGGGACTAAAGCACCGGCTTAGGCAAGCACAGGGACCACAGTTTTCCCCTCACTGGCCCCGCCCTCAGGGCGGACTGAGCTGGCCCCAGAATTTGGGCGTGGTGGTGTATGCTTGTAATCCCAGTGCTGAGGAGGCTGAAAGCGGGAGGATCACTATGAGTCCAAGCTGCATAGTGACCCTGTAACAACCAAATACACTAAAGTGAATGAATCTAGGGGGTGTTCTAGGAAGAGTTGTTTGACAGTGGTGTGAGGCATATGCCAGGTGGTGGGGACATCTAGGAGGTTTGAGCTAAAGCAGACCTCAACAGCATGGGGCCCTGTGAGAATGAAGAGAGGAGGGGCATAAGAGAAGGAAGGGAGAATCCAGAGGAAAGAAGCTTTCTTTCTTACTTGTGCCTTGTACTTGAATAAGGAGGCCTGTGATTTTTTTTTTTTTTTTTTTTAAGGAGCTGCTTTATGGAGCTGCTCAGTACTCTTCCTGTCTGGCACCCATAGTTGGAAGAGATCCCCAAATGGCCCTCAGTTGCCTCTTGTCTCTGTGGGGGCCTCTAGACCCCAGTGCTCATGATGAGTGGAAGGTAAAGTGGTCCTGTATCGAGAGGGGACAGTTGTACATTTTCAGAACACATGGCAAGGCGGTCCTGCCACTGTTCACTAGCCACGTGACCCCAGGCACATCTGCCATTACTTGGTGCCACCTATGACTTCTGCTTTCTTATATAAAGTGGAAGCTGTGAGACCTGTTTTACCCTCTTCTGAGGGATGTCTTGATGGAAGATGGTAGCATTTCTGTCATCCTTGCAAGACTGGTTTTACATTACTATTTAAATATTTTCTTGCTTACAACCTGATGTTCTTCCATCTTTGGACTTTCACCGTCCCTGTTTTGTATCTCAGTTGACTCAAAGCTATTGGTTGCTGCCTCAAGAAGTTTACTAAGTCTCGTCAGGTGCTGGGATATGTGGGGAAGGACGGGATGGCAGGAAGGTTGGTCAGCTGCAGGAGGAAAGGGCAGTGATGATATTCCTGGCTTTCTTTTTTTGTTCGGTAATAGAACCTGATAGGCACTTCAGTTGGGTCTGAAACAGGGTTCCAGACATGGCCACTGCTTGATCACATGGAATCTGAACACAGGACCCTTTCTGTAAACACTCATGTCCTAGCCCTAAGGTGGTGATGAGGAAAAAGGAGAATGGGAGCTGTTGACAGCACTCTGCTGTGGGCACTTGGGATTGGCCCCATATTCTCAGGGTCCCTCTCCCTCCGTGCGGGGTGGTGAGGGTGAGCAGCTGCAGAGCCACCTTAGTGTCCTTTCCCCAGCGAAGCCCTGACATGGCACTTGTGTTGCTGCGGCACGCGCAGCACCCTCATTATATCTCTCTCTTTTTTTCTCCCTCCCTTCCCTCTTGCACTTTCTCTTGTTTTTCTCTGCATGGTTTCTGTATTATTAGTCCTGAGGTAAGAACCGATTGAGCGCCTTGTCCACAGTTCCTTTTCCTCCTCTACCTGTGCTGTCCGTCCCTCCTGCCCAGACCCTGTGCACCTTGTGTCTGGAGAGGTCTGGAGGGTCGGGTCAGGGAGATCCTTAGCCAGCTGCACATGGGTCCCGCACCCAGATGTCCTTCCCACCCAGGCTCCCGCGCCCAGATGTCTTCTCCATGTTCTCCCCAGGCGGAGGGCCTGCAGCCACAGCTCGTGGGTGGGGCGCCTCCTCCCCTTCCAGCCCCAGCCTCACCTTCCGTTCCTTGTGCAGTGTGGAGGTCATCCGTCTGGGCCACAGCTACTTCATCAACTGGGACAAGAAGATGTTCTGCATGAAGAAGCGCACGCCCGCGGAGGCCCGCACCACCACCTTGAATGAGGAACTGGGCCAGGTGGAGTACATCTTCTCTGACAAGACAGGCACCCTCACCCAGAACATCATGGTCTTCAACAAGTGTTCCATCAATGGCCACAGCTACGGTAGGGCTGCGCTGCCCAGGGCTGGGGTATGCACAGTTATCTTAATGTCGGGTTTTCCTTTCTCCCACTTGGGTCTGAGGGCTGGGAAAGGGTCTGTTCTGTTCTCATGCCAGGCAGCAGAGACTGAGAGTCTTGCTTTGTTCTCCCCTGAAGTCCTTGCCCTGGTTGCAGCTCCAGGCACCAGGGAGCTTCCTGCCTGTTTGAAGTGAAGCCCCAGACCCTGGCCTCTGGGAATCCCGGCCAGGTTGGACCTTGGCTGCTATGGTGGTGTGTTAGACTCTCCCTGTGTTGCTGCTCGGGGACCTTGTGAGTCTCTGGAATGTGACTTTGGTCTCCCCAGTTGAAGTGGCCTGTGGCTGAGCTGCTGGGATGGCTTGGCCGGCTGTGTGGGGCTGACCTTCACGCAGGTGTGAGCCCTGCTTTCTGTACTAACTGGGACTCACACGCAGTGTGTGAGGCTTTGTCTGCTGTGTAGGCCTGGAGTGTGCTGGGCCTGGAAGAGCCTGGGAGCCCCAGGGGTGGAGTTGAAGAACTGGGTGTGCCCCAAGGAGTGAGCTTCTGGGAGGTTGTGGGGATAGGGTGGGGAGCACCATGGATACTGTGGTCTGGATCCTGGGTTCTGGGATCCAGGGTGCCTGTTGCCTCTTGTCCTTTGAGTCCGCAGTGAGAATATGGACATCATTTGCTTGATGATTAGGGCTGAGGGTTCCAAGGGCTTCATGGGTTCTGTGCTGGAGGCTTTCCCCATGGTCTGGAGAGCTCCAGCTCTGACATTGCCTCTCCTCTGTCCTGGCTGTGTGCAGGTGATGTGTTTGATGTCCTGGGACACAAAGCTGAATTGGGGGAGGTAAGATTCAGTCTCTGTACTCGTTCTATTCTCAGAGCCAGGTGTGCTGCTGCCTGCCTGTGATCTCAGCACACAGGAGGCCAAGGCAGGAAGATCACTGCAAATGTGAGGCCGGGCTGAACTACATAATGAGACCCTGTCTCAAAAAACAAAAGAACAGAAATATTGTATGCTTTGGTTAAGCACCTGACCAGTCAAGCTAGATGGGAGCAGAGTGGGAACAATGTGCTGTCCGGGCAGAAAATGGAAACTGCCTGGAGCAATGTGTGCTACAGAAAATAAGTGGCCGGGCGGGTTGAGTTCTGCTCAGGATCTCAGCCGTCTCACCTGGCAGTGCGAGGCAGGGGTGGCCTCTTTCCTGGGATGCAGCTGAACAGCCCAGCCTTTCCTGAGAGCCGTCTCAAATGTTCCAGAGACCTGAACCTGTTGACTTCTCCTTCAATCCTCTGGCTGACAAGAGGTTCTTGTTTTGGGACCCCAGTCTCTTGGAGGCTGTCAAGATGGGGGACCCACACACGCATGAGTTCTTCCGCCTCCTTTCTCTGTGTCACACCGTTATGTCAGAAGAAAAGAACGAAGGTGAGCCCTAGGCGGCTTGGCTGTGCTCTAGCCTGGTTTGTCCTCTTGGCACTGTCTGGTGGGGGGTGCTGGACTGGGGTTCCTGGGTAGGGGTATGGCCCAGGACATGGCCACTTCCAAAACCATGTGCCTTCTTCCTCTCTGCCCAGGAGAGCTGTACTACAAAGCCCAGTCCCCAGATGAGGGCGCCTTGGTCACTGCAGCCAGGAACTTTGGTTTTGTGTTCCGCTCTCGCACCCCCAAGACAATCACCGTCCACGAGATGGGCATAGCCATCACCTACCAGCTACTGGCCATTCTGGACTTCAACAACATCCGCAAGCGCATGTCAGTCATAGGTGAGCCCAGGATTGGGGCACGGAGAGATCAGGGTAACACACAGGCCTGGGATGGGTGAGGCAACCTGGTGCATCTAGGTGGGGGTCTTCACCAGCATTTCCTTCTCCTGCCCCATTCACAGTGCGGAACCCAGAGGGGAAGATCCGACTGTACTGCAAAGGAGCCGACACTATCCTGCTCGACCGACTCCACCACTCCACGCATGAGCTGCTCAGCGCCACCACGGACCACCTGAATGTAGGTGTGAGGAAGGAGGCCAGCCGGGGCTACTGCTCTTGGGGTTGGTGCACTGGGAGGGGCAAGACTGGCTTTTTAAAATTAAGCTTATTGGAACATTGTAGGTACAATTGTGATCACACTGATTATAGGGCATTTGTATCTGTACGTGATATAACTGTGACTTGCTTCTTTGTATGTTTTTCATCTTGCCTTATTAAATATAGTTAAGGTACCAAGTATGAGGCTTTAATATGTGTATACATACTAAAGTGACTACTGTAGTGAAGTAAATTAACACATCTATCCTTTCTCACAGTCACCTTTTGTGTGTGTGTGTCACTGGAGACTAATTGTGGT